GAGGAAAATTGTTGAATTGAGTGAATAAACTTATTGACTGATTGCTTGATTGCTTGATTGATTGATTGATTGATTGATTTAATCAAGTTATATCCAAAAGTTAATGAGTTATAGGCATGTGTTTAGTGATTATTTTATGTAAGTTTAATTTAAAATCTGTCCAATGGTTCATGACTTACTTTGCTGTAAGCTGTTAGCTTCAACAGTAAGTGCCAGAGTTTTAAGCGTAGATCTTGTGCAATGTGTAGCTCTCGGTGTACGTGCTGAGCATGACTCTCAGCCACTACCACAACATGTTTGCTCTGTTTGACCGAGTTCTATCCATTTCTGTGTCTTTGTCGCTGTAATGACGAGGATAAATCAGAAGATTCAATGCTGTAAAAATCTTTGTCGTAATAGCATTTTAATTAACACAGAGCTAAAATGCCAGTGCATGCTCAGAAATTGGTGGGTTGTCCACTTTTTAACAGTTCATTTTATTAAAGTTGTGCTTTATTGGCTAATCAGCGATTATTTATTTAGGAATTGCTGTTGTCATAAAAGACACAACCAATATTTAATTTATTTAGTTTTAAATCAATCAGATTTGGTTCAGTCGTGGGTTTGAGCAAACTTTGCCACGTCGTCACGAGTTTCTGCAGCACATTACCCAAATGTCCTGCTTTGTGTTCTGCCATGCTTTTAGGTGTTTTTTTTTTTGTTTTCATTTATATAAACAAGGATTTAAAGTGTAATTCTCTGGGGCACCAAGTGCAAAATACAATGTTAAAAAATAATCATAATTCATTTCATAACTTCCTTTCTGAGTGTAAAACCCTAGGTTATAAATTTTCACTAACATTTTATTTTCATTTAGTTCACTATTCTTACATTTTGCTATTTTTTATTAAATGATAAATGTTAAAAGTAAATATTAAATCCCAAACCTAAATGTGTAAATCTAAAGAATAAATCTTAAATGTGCTCCTGAACGGTAAAGCTTACATTGCTCTTGTTGTGATGTCATCCTCCTGTTATCATCAACTGTTTGATCAGATCTGAGAAAATAATGTTAAAAATATACAAACTTAGGCACAATATTGTCAAAATTTACTGAAATATAGTTATAGATGAACATCTATTAATTTCCTGAAAGTTGCATTAAAATCAGTCCAGAAAAAAAAGACCAAAAATGTCAATGACAAAATTATAAACAAAGATCTTGTGCACTCAGAATATATGAAGGGGATCAGACTACGACCACACCATCTTTTGCATCAACCTGGAACTGACTGAGTTGTAGCCAGTTTAGTGTTTTTTAAAGCTCAATTGCGTGTGATTATCATCTTGAACTGGTTGACTCCAAAGGGTGTTTTGAATGCTTTCCAAGTGTCTTATCTTATCTGAAACAGGTTTTTCTATCACCAGAACGAAAACCAAACAAGAAGTAGCTGCTTTCAAGCTGTACATATTACAGCATTTGTGCTAGCTCATGTAGAACCAAAGGTCTGCTACAACCACCAGCTCCTTTTGAAATAGCCCTATTTATTCTGTTTGTCACTGAGTTTGATTGATTATGATATACTGAAGCTCTAGTTTCACAGTAGTATGTGTTTACTTTTGTTTTATTTGTCTTTTTATCCTATTAAATGCCTTTATACTCTGTGTTTGAATATATTTACTCCATGAATCTCTTTGCATCACCTTGTTTTATCTGTCAGTTTACAGTATGTAATCAACGAGCCTTTTCTTGTAAGTACTGTACCTTGTTTGTCTGCTGGCTTTCAAACTTCTGTCATTTGTCTGAAAGATTTTTTCCCATCTTTATTAACTTGCATTCAGCAAGGAAACATGTTTGTCTCCGTCAGCGTTTGAAAAAAAGTGGACCAAGGCCAACAAATATCCCCATTTTTAGCAATTATTATAACCCATAAACAAAGAATTCTAGACAACCTTGTACCCACCAAATTTAAGGCTATAGTAGACCTGAGAGCAAAAACACTAAACGTTTTATTGAAGAAGAGGACATTTGTAATGTTTTTTATCCACATGTCCCTCCGATTAAAAGTGGCCAGCATAGTTTTTTTTTTTTTTTTTTTTTTTTTTTTTTTTTTTTTTTTTGCTCAAAACCTTATGCTCATTTCAGGTCAGTAGCATTCACAAAGCATAGCATGTTAAAATATAAATGTTTGGGTTTCAAGTTTTCATTACAAACCATTTATGCTCAGAGTGTCACAAATCTGGGCTTGAGGACCCAAACGGAAACTTTAGACATAACACACCTGATGAAAAACAATGCTTTTATTTGAAACACAACAGTGACGGATTCATGAAAATATGAGGAACTCAGAAATGGGCAAAGAAAAGCTGGAACTATTATTACACAGATGGCTGATGAAGACAAGGAGCAGGTGTGGCGATTACAAATGCAGAGCAGGTGCGACAAGGAGACAGGAAGGCAAAACTAACAAAGGAATGGATTGTACAAAGCAATAGATGCCCTTGTATGAATGGCATTTATACATATTTTGTTGTCGCAACCCCTTCATGCACAAAACATGCACACAATTGTGCAGATAAGATGTTTAAAAAAACATACATTTAGATGAATATATAAAGTTAGAATCACAAAGAAATATCAAATAATAAATTAAATCTTATGAAAATAAATATTGTAAAAATAATAACGTCAATTAGTCAAGGGTAAATCAATTTACCATGGCGGTGTGAAAATTCATCTTTTTTCAAGTTTTCATGAGAAATTTAACACAATACAAAAATGTAGGCTAAGGTAAATGTGGGTCCACTCACTGCATAAAAATTACTTTATTTGGGGGGAAAAAGTCTGAGGTGTGATTGATTCAAACTAATGATGGCATTAAAGTTTTGCCTAATAGATGGAAACCCCCCCCCCCCACACACACACACAC